ACCATTGGTTTTTGATCATATGCCACCTCCTGAAATGGATGATCATCTACCAGTTCTTTTTGGTATAGTGACTCCATGTATTCCATCCATCTTCTTTTGATGTTTTCTGTATCATTCAACATATTGCCCATGGGATCTTTCAGCATTGTAATCTGAGGCTAAATTTTGTCCTCAGTTCTTTCAGCTTGAGAATTGCTGAGCTTGTTCTTCCCTTTTGGGTTTCCAACTCAAACTCTTGGCATATTTCATTATAATAATTGACTTTGTCTTCTTGAGCTGCTCTTCGAAATCTTCTGTTAAGCTCTTTTAGTCTGTTGATTCTCCCATTTACTTTAGCTACTCTCTATTCTAGGGTAAGTTTCAAAGTCTCTGATATCCACTTTGGTCTTTTCTTCCTTTCCTGTCTTTTTTTTTTTTTTTTTTTTATTGTGATTTAGGTGAAAGTTTACAGAGGAAATTCACTTTCCATACAACAGTTCACATACACTTTGTCTCATATGTTGACTACGATTTACCCCAGTGCAACAGCTCCCCTCCCACTTCCTCCCGATAGTTACTTCTTCCCTGTGAGGGGCTCATCCTCTGGCACTATATCAGACAATGTCTCAGGGCTGTTTTTCGGTAATAGACAGCATTTTGCTGCTGTTCATACTGATCAGTTCTTTGAGAAGTGGATGGCCTCTTCCTTCTTCCAAGTCTGTCCTAGGCTGGAAGCTCCACTGAAACCTGTCCACCATGGGGGACCTTGTTGGCATTTGAAACACTGGTGGCACAGTCTCCAGCCTCACAGCAACACACAAGCCACCACAGGACGACAGACTGACAGATGGGTTCATCTCCCTTAGCTGCTCCAAACTTCTCCACTCCTGCTTCCCAGCCTTCCCTACCAGTTCCGGCCCTCCAAAAAGCTGTCTGCTGCTGCCTCCAGGCTTTCCCTACCAGTTCCAGCCCTCTAAAAAGCTAAATAATGGCAGTCATTTATTGAATATGTGGGAGTTCTGGTGGCATAGTGCCTAAGGCATTTGACTGCTAACCAGAAGGCTGGCAGTTCAAACCTACCAGCCACTCCCTTGGAGGGAAAGTTGGGCAATCTACTTCTGTAGTGATACTGCCTTGGAAAGGAGCTCTGGTAGCATAGTGCCTAAGGCACTTGACTGCTAACCAGAAGGCTGGTGGTTCAAACCCACCAGCTACTCCTCGGAAGGAAGGTTGAGCAATCTACTTCCGTAAGGATACCGCCTCTGAAACCCAAGGAAGGGTCGCTATGAGTCGGGTCGAACTTGATGGCACATAACAACAACTGCCTCAAAAACCCAAGGAGGAGTCACTGTGAGTCAGGTCGAACTTGACGGCACATAACAACAACAACAACAACAACTGCCTCGGAAACCCAAGGAGGCGTGGCTATGTGTCAGATCTGACTGGACGGCAGTGCATAATCGAGTATGTGTTAATTGTCTTTTACTGTGATAAGCACTGTTTTACTTCATTTTATTTTCCAAATAACTCTACGAAATAGATTGTAGTATCCACATTTTACAGGGTGTCCCTGAGTGGTGAAAATGGTTAAGTGCTGTATTACTAACCAAAAGGTTGGCAGTTCACACCCACCAATGGTGCCTCCAAAGATAGGTGTAGCGATCTGCTTCCAAAAAGGTGACAACTTTGCAATCTCTGTGGAGTTCTGTTCTGAACAGATAGGGTTGCCGTGAGTCAGAATCAATTTGACAGCAATAAGTATCAACATTTTATCGCTGGCTCTATAATGTCCATTAATTTTCTCCTGTTGTGGTTGTTTCTGGAAGGTCATTATAATGTTGACTTGATACCAGCAAATCTTAAGTTACAGCTCTTACTCTTTTTAGATAAAATCTTTTTTCTGAAAACTTTTTAAAAATAATTTTTTGAGCTGTAGATTTAGGATAAGTAATATGTTCACCTTATTAAAATCAGAATGATTCGACCTCATTTAATAGAATTTAATAAAACAGTTTTATTCTTCATTATTTGAAACCATGTATTTTCAAGTCATTGAAGTTGCAATAAATCTTTATGTACTTTTTAAAATTTAGTTTATCTTGAAACAATGGAAATAGAAATCTATACTGGGGCAAAATAGTTGCAAAAATGAATACTTCCAGTTTGAATAGAAAAACTAAAAGCGTTGAATAACCAAATTTATATTGGGATTTGAACCTAAGCATCCCATGTCATGCCCCTGCCCAAATCCTTTCCCAGTAACACTTGATTTTTACCCTTTGAAAAATGATGGAATAACATTCCAACAGTTGTTAAAAGAAAGAAAATACTTTTCTCAATGTCCTGTATATTGTGTGGGTTTTCCTCCAGTTTGCATATTCATGATACTATGAGGCCGTGATTGTTCAGAATTGTACCACTCTTTGCCAAGAAGATCGGATGGGAGAGTGGAGTAATAGCAACACCCCCGCACAGTGCTGCATATGTGTGTTCAGCTTTAGAGCACAAATTGTGCTTCTGCCTTGTTTCTTCCTGACCCAAACTATGTAGTTCAGCCATATGTTAAGTTTCATCTCAGCTAGGGCCATGAGCCAAGTGATTTTTTGGTTTAAATTTGATGTTTAAAAAGATCTCTTGAAGATACAGTCATGAGATACAAAAAATTATTTTTATCTGGGAATTTTAGGAGGACTTTCAACCTGAATCTTTAATGCCCATTTGACTTTAGGATTATTAATAAATGTGTAAATACTTCTTAGTTCTTAATCTTAGTTACTTTTAGTAATTTCTTCAGAGAAGTCAGATGAATTGGATACCGTTTTTGACATACTAGTGTTACAAAATAATTTAGATTCTGATTTTTCAGAAGGTAACTACTTTTTGTTTTACTTAAAGAGAATGATATTTTTAATAAGGGAGGTTAAAATGCCTTTCCTGTTACATTTTTATGTTAGAGATAAGCACTGTAAAAATTTTTATCTCACTCCTTACCACAACTATTCTTATATTAAAAATTATTTAGCTGTACCTATTTTTATACAGTTGTAATTATAGAGTATATAACATTTTGGAATCTGCTGTTTTCATCCTGAAAGTACAAATGAAGAACAATAAACTGATGGGCTATAGTCTGAATGCTTATCTTTTGATTGTGCCTCAGTTTCAAAATTAAGAGAGTAAGAGATCATAAGCCAGGAGTTCTTTTTTTTTTTTTGAATTGTCAATTAAAAAAAATCAACATTATATTGTATATAAATAAATGGCTGTCATAACCCTGAGAGTCTGTGATTTTTGTTAGAAATTTGCATTTTGTACAGTTATATCAGTTCTGTTAAAAAGTACTTTCAGATTTTTGCTTATATTTGCTGCAGTTGTAGTATTTGAACATAGTAAGAACTTAAGATTTTATTTCTCAACTGTTTTCAATTTTGTATTATTTACTTTGTAGAGTCCATAATAAAATCCCACTTAAATAGACCTTAGCAATCATGACAGTGATTTTTCTGGACATAATCATTTTTTTTTTTTAGGATTTGGGTGAAGATTTACAGAGTAAATTCACTTTTCATACAGCAGTTCACATATACTTTGTCTCATGTCATTGACCAAAATTTACAATGCAGCAGCTCCCCTCCCACTTCCTCCCCATAGTTACCTCCTCCCAGTGTCCATCACTTCATACTCTTCTGCACCCTGAGCTATCTCCCCGTGCATAAGCAGCCCTTCTCCCATGATTGTTCTCTCCAGGGCGTGTGTCTACTTGAGGTAAATGTTTAACTCACATGCCTGTACTTTGTTTGGCTGGAAACCAGAGTTGTGGGTTCAATTCCAGACCTGAAGGGCAGCTAGGGGCCATAGTCTCAGTGGTTACACCAGGCTCTATTGGACCAGCAAACCTGGTCCCCACCTTCTTTTTTTTTTTTGCCTCCAAATGATTTTGAGTTTTGTTCCACATTGTTCTCCCTCTCTATGCAGGATCTCCTACATCCCTTCCAAGTGGATGGCAGTGGTAGCTGGGGACCATCTAGTTCTTCTGGTCTCATAGTTGTATAGGTTGCAGATCGGACGGTGTACCAGTCGCTAGGACTGATTGTTTCAATTAATTTTGGTTTTCTTCTTTCTTCTTGACGAGGAGAGACCCGTTGTTGCATCTAGATGGCAGCTTCCTAGCTTTTAAGGTCCCAGTCGCTACTCGCCAAAGTAGTAGGTGGACCAATGTTTTCTATAGTATGTTATGCCAATTGAGCTTGATGTCCCCTGCGACCATGTGGACATAATCATTTTGAAACAGTGTTTCTTAGAAGCTCATTTGTGTAATATAAGCATATTTTCCTAATTTATATTCTAAGAAATTGTCTTAATACTTCTGAAATCACACACAAAAAAGATATGTGATTATTAAAGAAAGTTTGGAAAATATAAATAAGCAAAAAGGAAAAAAAACCTCGTAATTACAACTATTAACTTTTTTATTTGTAGCATTTTAATATTTTTTTAATACATGCATATACCCATACTTATAAATGTGGAATTATACAGTTTAACTTTTAGTTAACATATTAATACTTTTCATTCAGTATTTTACCTTTTTAGTATAAACAGGACTTCATAAGGTATAAAATAATTTATTTGAATCAGTCATTGGACTTTTAGGTTGTTTTAACATTTTACTTATATAAACAGCTCTGTGAATCAGTCTACTTCCGTAAAGATTTACACCCTTGGCAACCCTCTAGGGGTCACTATGAGTTGGAATAGACTCAATGGCAATGGGTTTGGGGTTTTTTGGGGGGATATTGTTGTTAGATATAATAATTGTTAGATGCATACACCTAGTTGCTGCTTGAGTGGAATTTTTTGATGTTTCTCTGCCTACCATGTTCTTAAAGGACAAATAATAGAATTATAATGAAAAATAAAACCAAACTATGAATTTAAATTATGAAGTCAGTCATCCGAACTAATGAATTAAGATTATGTGTTTGTGTATATTTATTTATTTATTTATTTTCTCTAAGCAGGTTGGCAACATTGTACAAATCACCAAGCCAGAAGGAGTCCACAGTACTGTTTCAAATCACAGTCAGTATTATTTAATTAGAGTGGGATTTTGATATTTGTGGGCAGTAATTATCTTAAGAGAGCATTTCCAAATTGCTTCTGTTACCTTCTGTAGGCAACAAGCATATTTGAGAGCAGCTTTTGATGCTTAGAACATTAGCCCCAAAATAGTACTATATATACACAATACTCTAGTCACAATTGGACTGAAGTTTATTCTTAAGAACAGGAAATGCTTATTTGTAAGGTAATATATTCCATGCTATATGCAATGTCCGGATATTACAGGTTTTTAAAGTGGGAGCTCTGGTGGCATAGTGCCTAAGGAATTTGATTGCTAACCAGTAGGCTGGCTGTTCAAACCCACCAGCTACTCCTGGGAAGGAAGACTGAGCAATGTACTTTTGTAGAGATACCGCCTCGGAAACTCAGGGAAAGGTCACTGTGAGTCAGAAATAACTCCATGGAAAAGAAATAACATAAGTGATTTTGGTCTGTAGATATTATAGGTCTTATCATAGCCATCAAATACAACCAACTTTAACATGTTAACTTTCCTGTAGATTTAGTTTATAGAAATAAGAGTTTTGGCTGAAATATGCATATTGAAAGTGTTGAACCAAGTACATTCTTGGCATCTCATTTTCACAAGGACAAAAACAGAAATGGAAAGAGATTCTTAAACCAAATTATCCTTAGTCTTTGCCCTGCCCGGGTACATTTGCAGTATCCTAGTTGGAAAACTTTATTTTAAAGTATTTAATTGTGAAAATAAATGGGTAAAGTGCCTAAATAATTAGTACATATTACTTCCTTTCACCTCTTCCATCAGAGCTACCATAAAGTTCATTAGGATTGTCCATTAGAAAATGTTTTTTATAATGCAGTGTTATTTGTGTGTATGTGTGTATACTTATATATGTAATATTTTATATATATTTATAAATATATATAAAATAATGTAGTACAGACCTGGTTTGGGCATCCATCCATGAAGTTTGTCCTTTTCATTCACAGTGGTTGATAATTTCTATCCCAAGAGCAAAGTCAATCTATTATGCTAAAAATATTTGCAAGGCTGACCTTTATTTTAAATATTCTTAAACCATACTTGTATATTTTTTATATTGCAGCCTCAGGGATTTAGAGATTCTCTTGTTGCTACTGCACATTCATTGCCAACAGAAGCTTCACCGAATTCACGGAAACGGTCACGAGAATCAGAGAAAGAAGCAGAGTAATCCAAAAACTCATCTCAAAGTGTAACAAATGTATTGATACTATGAGAGTCAGTGTGTACAAGTCATAGGCATGTTACTTTGAGATATAAACACCCACTATGGCATAAATAAATTGGAAATATACTCAAGTGAATGGGAAAAAATGAAGGAATATGATTCTTAGAAAAAGTTCTTCTAAAGCAGCATTTTGTCCTGTTTTCATTTTCAGTAACATTCAGTAGACATGATGTAAGGATTATATTTCAAAAATGTGGAAAGCTGATCTCATGTGGCCTGTCTGAATTTACCATTCAGAATGTTTTTTTCCCCTTTCTTTTCTGGTTGTCTAGAAAATCCTAGGAAGAAAAGGTTTTTGTTTTTTTTTTTTCAATATTCCTGTTATGTTCTCCTCTATAAATGTAGCTTTGATAATCCTTTAAAATGACGGGTTTTAAAACCTTTTAAAGAGAACCCAAGACCATGAGTCAGCATATCATTAGATTTAGTTATATGGGTCAGATAGAAATTTTAGATGGCCAAACTAGTTTTAGTGATCTCAATCCTAACTAATTTTTTATGTTATTTTATGTTAAAAGAAGGATTTTGTAGCTATTATACCATCTAGAAATTGTTAGAATATGTATCTTCCAGAATAATCAGATTGATAAGGTCAAAGTTATTTATGTCTACATTTTTAAAGCCTGAAATGATACATTCTAGAATTGTAGGTATAGTGGCATTTTTGTTTTGTTTTGTTTTGTTTTAGTCTTAACCCTATTTGAATAAATTAAATTTTGGATTCTTGAATGGTTTCAGAATCATCTAAAAATGTTTTGGCACCTGGTTTGTTCTTCTTAATACTTCTCAATACATTCACATCTTTGGTTCCCAGTGGAAGGAAATTTAAATAACTGAATATTATATACTGTGACCAACCATATTTTACAGATTTTAGTGGCAGGTGGTGTTTCCTGTCCCAAACTGTACATCAGATTTATACAATATATTCAATGTAACGATTATACATAGAATTACCCTAGTTTGCCAGGACTGTTTTGAAAGTGGAAGAGGACACTGCTAAAATTATGTCAGGACAATGAGCATAAACTGGGATTGTCCCAGGCAGATCAGGCATATGATCATCCTGACTATAAGACTAATTTCAAATGACTAATGTAAGACAACTGATTGTAACTCTCTTACTTTGAAGGCATAATTATCTGAAGAGATTATTTCTAAATTGCTTCTATTGCCTTCTGTAGGCAACAAGCATATTTGAGGGCAGCTTTTGATGCTTAGAACATTATCCCCAAAATAGTACTATATATACAGAATAGTCACAATTGGACTGAAGCATGTTGTTCTTAAGAACAGGAAATACTTGTGAGATAGTGTGTTCCATGCCATATGTGATGTCAGCATATGGCTATCTTTGGGGGGTCATTCAGCCCCATCATGTAGTAACATGATTCAAGAAACATGAGCCTCGGGTGATTCACACACACATTAAGGGTTGAAAAGCACTGTGGCAGTCATGTGTTACCATTTCTTGGACTCATAGATGGTTGTTCCCATTTATAAAACTGCAAAGAAAGGACATTTTATTCCTCAGATCTTTGAAAGTTGAATTTTTCAAGGAACAATCTTCTTACTCAAGTATAAAATATGTGTAAATATATACATTTTTCCCCAGGCTTTTCTTTTCCTTGACTTTAACTCATGATATGGTAGTATATCTTTCATCCCACAGTTCATGTGGGTTTGCTACCTAATTCCAGCCCAGTACATTGGTTAAAACCTCACCTCCTGGTAGACCAGTGATTGCATGCATCTTTCCTCTCGTGGTTAGACAAAATCCAAAAGATGCACATTGGCTTTTACTCCTTCTCATGCTATTGTTGTGATCGCCCTTTTTTGGTAATTAGCTTGTACACAAACATATTTGCGCACAAAAAAGCATTTATTTCCACAGTTTTTTTTTTTTTGTTTTTTTTTAATGTCACTTTCCTATTTTACAATTGTCTTGACCACAGTTACTATAATAGAGGCCGTTACGATAGTAATTTAAAAATTACTCAGTCTGGGAAAAATAGCCAACACTAGCAATTCAAAATTTGTTCTATTTTGAGAAATCTTTTCTACTCTGACACACTTGGAAAATCAATTTGATTCTAAATAAATTATTAAAACTATAACATATAATAAGGTATAAAATTAAAAGCTTAGACTAGTTCAGGATTTTGTTTTTGTTTCTTTTTGGGGTAGTAGACACTTAAGGTTTCAAAAACATGCAGAGAACTTTTTGTGTATTAAATCTTGGTTTTACAGACATTTTATTCTTTACTGAAGTTGTATTTTTTCCTAGAGAATTATGACGACAGCCTCAGTTTGGTGGATGTAAAAGTTAAAACATACATGTACATTTGACTCTTGAACAACATGGGGGTTGGGTCACTGACCTCTCCACCACATACACACACAGCCAAAAACCTGGGTTTAACTTTCGACTCCCCAAAAATGTAATAGCCTGTTGTTGCCTGGAAGCCTTACCAATAACATAAATAGATGATTAACATAGTTCTTGTTGTACAGTTACTAGATTTTCACACAGACACATACATACACGACAGATAAGTTTATTAATTATACAGCATGATGATTATTATTCATTAAGTGGGAGTAGACTATCATAAAGGTCTTCATCCTTGTCATCAACACAGAGTAGGCTGAGGAGGAGCAAGAGGAGGGGTTGTGCTGTCAGGTGGCAGAGGTGGAAGAGGTGGAGGAGGTGGCAGGGGAGGCAAAAGAGGCAGGCATGCTCGGTGTAACTTTACAGAAATACATCTTAATTTCTGTCTGACTTGTTTGCTTTTTTTTATTTCTCTAAAAAATGTTTCTGTATGTTACCAGTCCTTCCACCATTTTCTTGAGTTACAGTGCCCATGTCATAGAAGGATTCATGTCATAAAAGAAATCAAAAGCAGTCTTGAATAATTGGAACCTTCTGCAAGACTGTCTGATGTCAGTTTGTTTGCTGACAGTGCTTTTGCATCTTCCTCATCGTCTGACACTGGTTCAGAAGCATTCATCTCCATCAAGTCATCTTCTGTTAATTCCTGGTGTGATGTATATTAGCTTTTCAGTTTATCCAAGATTCACATCTTGAAAAAAATCTACATGTAAGTAGACCTGCACAGTTCAAACCTGTGTTGTTCATGGGTCAACTGTATAGTGTTTTACGGTTCTAATGAGGAGCCCTGGTGGAACAGTGATTAAGTGTTCCACTGCTAACGACAAGGTCAGTGGTTAAACCTACCAGTCCTTCCATATAGATTATAGCCTTTTGGGGCAGTTCTACTTTGTGCTAGAGTTGCTACGAGTTAGAATTGACTGAATGACAATGAGATTATGGTTCTAACTTTTATATCATTTAATTTGATCCTTCCAGCAACTCTGTAAAATAGATATGAGCTGACCTGTGTACTTTTGTCTTTTTTTCTCTTCCTTCCATCTTTTCATTCATCAATCCACCTACCTATCCATCATCCACTTAATGCCAAGCACATGTGAATTTAACAGCTACTTGTTGAATGATTAAGTATTTCAAGTAAGACAATAAATTCCATTTTTCAAATGGTAAGATAAGAATATTACTTGGTTATATATAAGATGGTGTTTCTGAGTACTTTTTATTATGCAATAATATATAATTTAATAGTGTATTAAGTGTTTATAAATGACATGGTAACACTTTGTTTTTTAAGCTTTTATGGACTTTCGTTTATCTGGTTTTGGGCAGTTGATTTGGCTTTGAAGATTTTCAATCTGTTCCTACTAGCTTAAATTTTAACCCTACTAGACTTACTTTTTTATCTCTTAGATTAGCTATTTTTATCTTCTCTTTAAGTATTATATTTTATTTTTCTTGTTAATATTCTTGGTAAAATGTTTGCAACTAGTTACCAGTTATAAAATTACAATATGGTAGAAAGAACACAGGATTAGAGTCAGAAGACTTGGACTCTAATTCTAGTAGAGACACTAACAAACCTTGTTGGTTTGGGCACTTTTCTTATGTTTTTCCCTTATTTATAAAACAAGATTGGATTAAATGATTGCTAAATTTACTGATCTAGGTTTTGTGGTTTCTGCTTTTGTAGAGGCGTTATTAAGTACTCACTTTAAGTGAATGATAATGGAAAAGTGGAAAAGAGTAACATTTATAGATTTTCAAGTCAATAATAATAGTAAGGTTTCCATTGTAATACATTGCATTTAGTTTAGAGACATAGTGTTGAAATGTTCTCTTGCTTTAAAAAAAATTATTGAGTTGCAGAAGAGACGCTGTTCATAATATGTATTTTTAGTTAACATCAGTGCCTAAATTTACTGTTAACTGTTAAAATTTACAGAACATTTTGCTCCCTCAGAAATGATTTTGGCATAAAATATGTTGACAAGATTTCATGTATTTTTGACCGCATTATATTCCTTTGCCTCTTTTCAGTTTGAGTTCGCCATTGACGTAGATCTTTTTATATTTCAGCTCTCCATTTAATTCCCATTAGATTGTGGGAGCCCTTAGGTGGTACAAACAGTTAACACGCTTGACTGCTAACCGAAGGATGGTGTTTTTGGTTTTTTTTTTTTAATTTTTAAAATTTTATTGAAATATAATTTATGTACAGTGAATTACACAAAATTAAAGTGACATGGATCAATACAATTTTTTTTTTCCCTGCAGAGTTCCCTCCCCTTCCCTCCCACCACTGGTAACCAACAAAGAAAGTTTCCTTCCATATATAAACTTTTCCTTTACTTTTTGCAATAATGAATTAATACTGTATTTGTCCTTCTGTGATTGACTTATTTCACTCAGCATAATGTCCTCCAAGTTCATCTGTTGTACAGTGTTTTGCAGAGTCTACATTATTCTTTAGTGTTGCATAGTATTCCATTGTGTGTATGTGCCACAGTTTGATTATCCATTCTTCTGTTGGTGGGCATGTAGGTTGTTTCCATCTTTTTGCTATTGTAAATAGTGCTGCGGTGAACATGGGTGTGCATATACAAAGGATCATGTTTTAAGTCTATCCAGAGGCACCTTGGAAGGAAGGCCTGGTAATAATT